ATACAGTGGTAATAGTGAACTACCTCATTCAACAGAATGCTATTAAATAATTTGTTACTCACAAGTTTTTGTTTGCTAGTTACTAGAATGTTAATTAGATTTGTTAAGACAACGGGAATCTACTGAAATACTGAATCAGACTCAATGCAGTTTGTGCACCACTAGAGGGCAGGATTTTTACTCAAATACACACTGTACTTCTCAATATAGTTTCCCCAGAGAAGATGTGGGCAAGATCGGGATTGTTTATGAAGGTAAATAATCAGCTCTAAAATGACGCACTTCCATCATTTTCAACAATCATATTCATAACTCTCCCTGACTCATTTAAAGAAGACGGTCTATAATAGCTTGAACACAAAGTGCTGTGCTGGAAAACCAATTATGTAATCTTATTTATTGTAGGACCAAGGGTAAATATTTATGTATAAATAAATATACAGTGGTAATATTTTTGTGATATTTGTAGAGATTTATTGTCAGAGTAAAACCATTCATTTTGCCTTTTTTTTCCGTAAGCTATTTTAGTTGTCTTCTATTATCTTTACCTTTCAAAGTGGATATTATGTGCTCACCATATATCTTTTGGCATTACTGAAAGTGCCTTAACTCGTGGCATTCAGAATTCACCCTGCTTGTTTTGATGCTGCACGGCTAGGTCAGACACCTCAAATGTTCTTTTTAATCAGTTGTGGCTTTTTTTTTTTTTTAAAGGTACCGGACTTTATATGCCTTTTTCTTACAATAAAAAGCATCTTTCAAAGTATTATGTCTGCAAAAAGCTGCTGTTTCCATTGCATGTTGTGTTCAGAAGTTCAGGATGTTCTACAAACAAGATTTAGCTTGAGGTGTCAGTATTATGAAGGGTCTGACTCATATCAGCTGGTGATAATGCTCTGTAAACATCTGCCCTCCCCTCTTCTCAACAGATAACACACAAGCATGGTGATGTTTCATTGCCAGCACTCTGGCCCATAGACATCAAAAGATGTAAACCCAGGGGGTAGAAAATACATCTTTGACCCCCAGCAGCTAAACTTTAGAGACATCAGTCAATGGCATATCTGGGCCATTTCTACACTGGATTTTGAGCATATTTTTTTTGAAAGAAAAAAACAACAACTTTAAAATCTATGTTTTTAGTCTGTTCAGAGAGAAAACATACATAAAAACACACTGGTCAAGCTCATGCTATAACTATTACAAAAAAATCACATTCTATAACATGTGTCTACCATGTTACATGACATATTCCACAGCAATGCGCAACAACACTCTAAAAATGCTGGGTTGTTTTAACCCAACTTTGGGTCAAATATGGACAAACCCAAACATTGGGTTAAAATGTAATTAAAAAATGTAACCCAATGGCTGAGTTTGTCCATATTTGACCCAAAGTTGGGTTAAAACAACCCAGCAATTTTCAGAGTGGAGGCAGGCCGTAACAGGGTAGACTGTTTTATGTTTATAAAACCCAAGCTAGAAAAGACCAACATAGCAGATTCAGATTAATTTCAATATATGAATTTACACACACACACACATACTGTATATATATCCTGAAAAAAATCATATCTAGTTCAAATTGACACAACAGGGTGGACGTTGTTTTACACTATTATAAGTAAAAGTTTATGACTAATTCGTACTTTGTTACTTTGACATCATTTCAAGCAAGTCATTTTAGGCAAGTGATTTAGGGCATACGCTATAAGATTTTAAAGGGAAATGTAACAGGGTGGACTGAAGGACATAAGCTCATTTAATGGTTTTACACAAAATATGTATCACAATAAATTGTATATTATGTAAAAGGGAATGCGTTAATGTATAGTAATACTTAAACCTGCTGATTTAGGGGGGGGGAAAACAAGTACTTTATTTCAAAGTGAGGTTAAGAGTGTTTCAAAAAGTTTATTATTGTTATTAATATTATGATTGGGTACTAATACATTTGTGTTAATTGGGATAAGCATAGAAAACCATGGCATTAAAGTTGATTAACATTTTATGTAAAATATGCAGTATTGTTTCATGGAATGATCATTCTAGAAATGACCCATCTACTAATTGATGATTTTGACATCAATAAAGCTTTTAGTATTGGTTGCAAAATATAAAGTCCTGAAGCGTTAAATGGTTTGGGTTATAGTCATATAGAGAATGAGATTTTTCTCAGTGGACACGTTTGACTATTTATTTAAATATACTGTATTACTACATTTTTTGGGCCATTTACTTACAGTAAACTCTTCACCCAGCTTCAAACATGAAGTCCAACAAAGCGTCAACAAAGAAACAAGTTTGTTTTGGAGAGTCATCAGAGGACATGCATCAACCCCCTGCTTAGACTGTCACACCAAAAGGAGGACACGAAAGGATAGCAACCTACAAAAGTAAACGACGTAGTCTACCTTCGCATTCCATCTGCAGAATGAAGAACACACCACCTCAAGAGGGAAAGTCGGACTCCCGCGCGATCATTTGAAATTTTGACATCACACAATGAAACAAAGTGATCTAATTAACACTTTCAATGACATATCAACTGCGATTTTTATAGGCGACGGGAGTATTGTGTTACTCTTATAAAATAGCGATGCTTGATATGTGAACGTTATGTTGGAGTCGGATCTTTTTCCATTTGACCAGTAAACATGTCTGATTCGTAGAGATCATCCGAAATTGTTAGAGTGAACAGATGGGTGATGATAACAGCAGTAGGCTAATTATACAAATAAAACACCTGAAAGCATGTCCGTTTATAATGCGCATTTATTAAAACATTCATAAACAAGAGTTGTATATGGACTTGATTGGAAATGATAAATATAGCCTACAAAATATTGTTGTTCTTAAGGTTTCGAATCGTCGATGCACCAAAATGAACTGTGGCACAGTATAAAAAAAAAAAAAAAAACTTAGCCTATAAACGAAAGCTAATCAAAAAGCTTAATGAACAACATGCAAAAGGTGTCATTCGAACATGTTAGAGCATGCATACCACACCAAATGATGAAGTAGCTAATTATGTCACTTCGTAAAAGAATTAGGCCTATAGCGGTTCTTCTTGTTCTTCTTTTCAAAGAACCGGTTCAAAACACAGAATTACTTTTCAAAGTCATGAATGAATTGAGAAAGGCACGTATTTCATATTGATGTGCCAAGTTAGGTTTCTATAGTTAGCAACCTGTAGTTAGGCTATAACCATAACAATTAGCATTTATTCTCATTCATTCAATCATTTTTTCATATTGCTTTTACCCCGTCTATAAACGCAAGGACATATGACACGATTACGATTTTATAGGCTATATATCCTGCTGTAGTCTATAATAATAGTACTCATGCTCACTCAGGAGCCCTGACCTGATTGAGATGTCATCAGGAATTTTAAAACAGGATTACCTGGCATCCCACTAAATGAATTTGCTAAGTACTTTGCCCACAAAAAGCCGCTAAAAGCCGAGCAAATGGACTGTTTGCGAAAATAGCATCGCTGTGGAAGTCTGATTAAGACACGGGCTTCAGTCCTGTTTGATCTGAGCTCATCAAAGGGTCCTTTACACAGGCTTCATTTTACACCACTGTAGGCTTTGGATGTACAATTAAAACAAAGCCAATAGACAAAGGGATGGGGATGAACCCTGCCAATTCACGTTTAATGAAGTGTATTGAGCGTTTGTCCTGTGGTCGTCTATTAGAAGTGACCCGGCCCTGTCAACAACATCAAAGACATTGATTTGGGAGTTATCCAGGAGAATTGGGCAGACAGACACTTTGAACATGTTAAATCGTTTGCGCAGTTCATGCCCACCAAAACGCATTTTTTTTTTATTTATTTTTTTACAATGCTATATTATTATTGGTGGCATTTAGGAGCAATCTATCCATGCTGCAACATATTTAATTTCAGAGAGCAAATATCTGAACTGTTTCAAAACTAAATGGGTAGCTCAGTTCACTTGGATGATATTGAATATTTTAAGAAAACGAAACTAATCAGGTAATTGTTTTATTGTTCTAAAAAAATAAAGCTCAAATCTTTATAGGCCTAATAGGCTATAGATCAATCGATGAACCACGTCACCTATTCTTATCTCAGATTGCTAATCACGCACTATTTGTTTAAAAGCACAGACTGAACGATAATTAATTCGGTAAACTTCACTTCTTCTTATTTGCATATTCACTTTGATCTCGTGCACTTGTTTAATCAAACGCATTTCAAAGAGCACTCCATCCCGGTTATGACTCAAGATCTGGTGAATCTGTCAACCTACATTTTTAACATGGAATATACAAACTCACAGTGAAAAACTATGAAACTATGAGGAAATAAACTCGGAATATTCAGTAAAGGCAGGCTATCTTGCTTTTTGAATCATAAAATAATCAGACTGCATGTAATATTGTAATAAAATATTAAAATTATATATACCTCTATATAAAATATATTTTTATTATTATTATTTTTAAAAATCCCTAATATGTGGTAAATGACCTATTGATCCAAGCTGATTATCAGTCTAGCTTTACTGTAAACACACTTTTTGTTTTCTCGATTGTCTTTATTGGCCGTTAAATTCAAAGTGTTTGAACCTTGTGCAGACTAGCCTACTTTGACTTTTGCGTCACTTTGATTTGAAATAAAAGCAGATTGTAAATTGGTAAATGTGCATCCACAGTAATGCATAATATGGACATATAATACAATATAGCTAATCATTTTTACTTCATTAACTTCATAGTTTTCTCAGCAAATGACTGACTTCCCCATTAATGTGAATTAAATAAGCAGTATTACTGAAGTGGCTGTTTGATGGCATCTCGTGAAGACGTGCATACAAACACACTGATAGACAGACAGTTCATGACACAACGCTTTGAAATTTCATCCAGCTCTTTGTTACTCTCAGCGAGGGGCGGGAGCGCAAACAACCCCGCGCGTGTATAAATGAAGCGTCTTGCGCTCATGAGGAACCACAGAAGAGCCCTGCTCACCTCGGGAATACATCCTCCAACCAAGGAATAGCAGACCTGACAATGCTGTACACTGCCATGTTCTCAACCGTTTGCCTTATTCTTGTGGGCTTCATCAAAGTGGCATCCGCTGGTTCTGTGGAGCTCAACTCGAATGCTATTAAGGTCGGTTCAGGTGTGGCGAGTAGTCACCCGGTCAGCCCGAGTCCGGATGAGTCACCTGCGGACAGCGGCAGTCTGAACTTCGCCGTCGATACACCTCAGGTAAGAATATAAACGAGCACATGTTATGTTCAGACAGCTGTTTTTTCCTCGTGGTCGTTAGACTAAACGTGTATTTGTAAACTCCAGCAGCCTTTAATCTGCGAGAGTGACGAGGAATGCAGTGGAGAGGAGTTCTGCTTCCTGTCTCGCGGTGTTTGTCTCCAGTGTAAGAAGCGCAGGAAGCGCTGCATCCGGGATGCGATGTGCTGCCCTGGCAACCACTGCAGCAATGGTAAGATCAAACTTATGAAAAACAAACAAACAAACAAAAAAAACAGTTTACTGTTATATAGGCTTAACAATTAATAAGCTATTTGGACTAACTATGAAACTCTTCCTATTAGGAGTTTGTCTTCCAAATGATCCTGACATGAATCAGCAGATCGGAATGAAAGAGTTTGTGTCCATTTCCAATGAGAACTCTACTTTTGTGGTGCCACCAAAAGTTCCAAGTCAAAGTTCACCACAAAACGAAATGCAAAAAGGTAAATAATGCTTTAAATGACAGACTTGTTATGTCGACTTGGTTTGGGTGTCTGTGTGTAGAATAGCTTCAGGTCATTTTCAGATAATGTTCTTTTGAAATAATTGCAACTCAGCATGCAGATATTTGAACCCTGTGGTGTATCACTAAGTAGGCATGAACTTTTCAGGAATGTGAGCGGTATTAACTAGGGTTGTAAAGTTTCCAAAAACTTTCCATGATTTTTTGGAAACTTTCTTTTATTACCCTAATTATATTTGACATTTACAACTTTTGGAGCATGTTGAAATGTGTTTATAATCCAGTTTTAAGAAAGTAAGGCTAAGTTTAACACATTAAGTTAATGGTCATCAACCTTAATGTGACATTTTTTTGATGCCCCAAAAAGAACATGTCAGTCGTGCATGATATTCATGGATGTTATTTTGTTAAAGGACTGGAGGGAGAAACCTGTCTGAGATCATCAGATTGTGCTGAGGGACTCTGCTGCGCTCGTCACTTTTGGTCCAAAATCTGCAAGCCCGTCGTGAAAGAAGGCCAGGTCTGCACCAAGCACAAGAGGAAAGGCACTCATGGCTTAGAAATATTCCAGCGTTGCGATTGTGGGGATGGTCTGTCCTGCAAAACGCAAAGAGGAGACGGCGGCAAGTCATCACGGAGTCTGCACACTTGCCAGAGACACTGAATGAACATTTAAGGAATTTTCTTTCACAAGTTCAAAAACGGACTTGAGCGACGAGCGGTTGAGGGAAACAGGACTTGGAATGGGATACTCAACTGGTTTTTCAACTGGTTTCCTCTATTTTCTTGTGTCAACGTTGCAGAGTAGATATAATTGTTTCTCAACGGAACTTAAAAATTGCAGTAAATTACTGTATTATACTGTAAATAATATAAGGCAGTTGGCACTTAATTCAGATATTTTTGTCAACCCTGTTTTGAAAGAAGGTGCTTCAGTGTTTTACTATCTTATTTGTGTATATCTGGTATTTTGCAGTCATATAGAGCTGATTTAAATGTCTATTTTATTCTAAATAAAGATTGTACAGATGATATTCAGTTTACTGTGTTTAAGTCATGCTTGCATTAAGAGGGTTCAGAGTTTCTCGAGCTGCTTGTAAAGAACACACAGAATGTTCAGTAGGTGTGGTCAGAGCTGAGGAGGTTTTATTCCCCTTTATTTCCCAACTTTAATTAAGGTATTTAATTTAGGTGTGTCTATATTTAATAAGCCATAAGAAACCTTTCCACCGCTGGGGGAAAAAAAGTTGTAATGTATAATTGCATCAGGGAGGCTATTTTTTTTTTTTGTTATTTTACAAAGTAATTATGTGTTACACATGTTGAGAGAACAAAATGATCCGCAAATGATCTATTACTTAAATAAAACACTTTTTTAAAAGCGTATTATATAAACAGAGCGATGTTGCGAACAATAAAGAAAACAAAATCTTGAAACGGAGATTAAACACCACCCATGTCTGATTGATCCGATGCTTTCAAAAGCATTTATATAGACAGGTCACACATTACAAACAAGCATCTGTTTGAGGTCTGCTTGTGAATTCTGTCTGTCTCTCTCTCTTTGAAGGTGAGAGGCTTTAATATGGTCTAGCACGTGGAGACTGACTATAGTCACCTTCTCTTTAAAGTTCAAGGATGCTCACTGATAGTGGCAGAGTTTAATGGCTCTGTCTGCTCATAGCGAGAGTTGAATTACATTTCAGAGAATCATTATAGGAAATATTTCAGACTTGATGGTTTTATGCACATTTCAATGATTATTAACCTCTTTTTTACATTGATCGTTTTAAAGTCCCCTTGTAGTCAAGGCAAGTTTATTTATATAGCACATTTCATACACAATGGTAATTCAGTGCTTTACATAGAATAAATTAAAATAATCAAAAGAAATCAGAGTAATTAAAACAGTTTAGACTAAAAGAAATTAGAAAAATAAAATACAGTAAATAAAACAATAGAATCAAAATAAAATGAAGTACAGTAACAGTCGGACGAACAGTGCTCATTTAGTAAATGCATAGCTAAACATGCTTAGCGCAGCCACAACACCCTCTCATTTCAATTCTCTCAATTCATGGCAATTGATCATGTTTTCAATATCTTACCATAGCTTTTCTTGTTAAAATACGGGTGTTTCAAATTTTGCATGCTTGCTCTGAGCTTCCCCATACTGGCTGTTTTCCCTATCTTTGGTCACAAAAATGCCTTAAAGCAGCTGAAATAGCCGACTAGCTTGTTGACGATCACACGCTGATTGGTTAAAAGGTAGTTTGTGACGTCAGAAACACCAGGGATTTCAAACCGTGTTTTTGGTTCACTGCAGTTTTAAGGAGAAAACCCCCAGCAATGGTGTTGATGTATGAATTTGGTTTGTCTTAAAGCATATTAAAAATACCACAGACATATAAACAGCATTAAAAGCTTGATTTTCACCACAGGGGGACTTTACCAGAATAGCATATTCAAACGGAATACAATGCTGCAAAAAGAGCAAATGCCCTTCTTCACAAAACACGCCCTCACTTAGAAAGTTGCTCTTGCGGGTTGTGCTTCCTTTTGCATTTCTCCCAGCTGTAATTGGAAACTTTAAGTCTTTTACCTGGAGCTGTCAAGAGAGACAAAGCAGTGGGGTAAGGATTTCAAAGCACAGGATATACAGTTTGCAATTGTCCCTTTCCCATCCATGTGGCTTTACTTTCTCCCATGCTTTTGTCAATACCATCAACAGCTTAAAGACCACAAACATCTGTGGATGGAATCGCAAGCTGCACAATGGTGCAAAAGAAACCCAAACCTCCGCAGTCTGCATACAGTAAAGCATTTAAGTCAGGTCAAGGCCATTTGATATGCTTCACTAAGAGGAATCAAGAGTCCATAAAGGATGTTTCTAGTGTTCAAGCTGAAATAATCTGCAAACACGAGTGTGAAAAGGTGGATTTCCTTCTTTTTTCAAAGTAGGCACAATAAAGCAGCAATACTGGGGCTTCTGAACATAGCAGTGTGAATGTTTGCGAACTGCCCCTAAAGCCTGGTTCACTTTGAAGTTGAGATCAGTCAACACTTCACGGCACATACTATTTTTCAACAAATAGTTAAGTAACTGGGACTCACACGCAGAGTTACTTAAAAAGAACCCAAACACATTACCGTGAATTGAAATTTACCCTCGAAAGTATCTGTGCCTGTTAGCCAAGTTAGTCTGACTGTTTCAATCATCACGCAATTCATACTCGAAAATTAGTTTTCGCGTGGATTTGATATGCAGTTCATTTGCTTGTAATAGTACACGCGCACCCCACACAACTAATTCTACCCAAACATAAAATACACACACACAAAATATTGTTAGTTTAACTTAAAAAGTGAAGTAACCATGGCTGCCTCGAAAATGTAAGTTCATTGAAATGGAAAAATTGAGTTAATACAATGAAGGTGAGTGATTTAATCTTCAGAAACTTAAAATATTATGTTATCTGAACTGCATCAATTATTTAAGTTGATTTGACAAAAGAAATAATGTTGTGATTACAAATCATGAAAATAGTTCAACCTTGCACGTAAAAAATCATTTTCGTGTATAAATTACACGATAAACACATGGCTGCGTGTAGCATAATATGCTCCGATGCGTTTTTTTATGATCTATCTCTTTGTTTGATTGACCATTTCAATTAAGTTGAGAAACTGAGAAGAAATTAAATGAGCAAACAAGAAACAAAGGTGACCAGACATACACATATATTTGAGATCGCCTCACGAAAAATAACGCTTTCAAAAGAGGTTGTTTCACCCCGAGGTTGTATTTTAAGGCTCAGATCTCTTAATGTTAATAAGCCTTACGCAGGTGGAAGTAAGATGAGAGGATACAATTAAGGAAACATTTTGAACATTTTGTGTGGTAAAAGATGTTTTTTTCACAGCTCTATGTTATAATGGCAGATGCGCTGCATAAATGAATGACATTTGCGTGGTTGTCTTTAATTTAAAGGTTGTGTGTAATTAGAATGATCTTACCCTACTAGTCACTGTTAGATGTTTTCATCAAAGGGGTGAATGTGGTGATTACAACAGCAGGTCGATGAATATTATGAAAACAATTAAGCAGTATTCCTTTTTCAATTTGTGGAGGGATGAATTGCGCTCTGCGCTATTTTACTGGATTTTCATTCAGTTGACTCACACAGTTAGCGTTTGAGGAATTATATACCCAAGTCTAAGCAATGTGCATAAATACAGAGATGTCTCGTCTGTGACACACAGAGTAGAGGTTTGCGGGTCAGTGTTGGCTGTAGAATGGCTTGGAATGACCCTGTGCTGTTTTACTAGCTGACTGACTGCCATGCTTGCAAATTACAGACAGCGAGATCCGACTGTAATGATGGCAGGCGTCACAGATATGAGCTCTTTAAGATGCATGGTTTTCAGCGGCAGACAGCAGCCTGACAGAGTCCAAACACAGAGTTAGAGAACGCAATGGCTCTGTTTATCAAGTATCAAGTCAAAGGGCAAGAAACAATTAACAATGTCAACAACTATAGGTAATTTAATGATGTGACACTAACAACTATTCTAAATGGTTGTTCTTCTTCATAACGAAAGTACGAGAGGTATCTCAAGATGACAAACACACCAAATTTACAAACAAACCAGTTAAAGTGGCTTACTTTTCAACACGTTTGCTGTGTATAATGGATTTAAAGGAATAATTCACTTCAACATGAAAATTCTGTCATCACCCTCAAGTTGTTTGAATTTTCTTTCTTCTGCTGAACACAAAAGAAGATATTTTAAAGAATGTTGGTAACCGAACAGCTGATAGATCCCTTTGACTTCAATGTTTGTTTTTCGTATTATGGAAGTCAACGGGGTCCATCAACTGTCTGGGTACCGACATTCGTCATAATATATTTCTTTGTGTTCAGCACAAGAAAGAAATTCATACATTTGAAACAAATCGAGGGATTTTCATTTTGAAGTGAGCTATTCCTTTAAGTTGGAAGTATAAACCTTGTCTTAAAGGAGTAGTTCACTTTTTTTTAAAAAAAACTTTTGCTGATAATTTACTCACCCCCATGTCATCCAAGATGTTCATGTCTTTCTTTCTTCAGTCGAAAAGAAATTAAGGTTTTTGATGAAAACATTCCAGGATTTTTCTCCACATAATGCACTTTACTGGTAACCAAACGGTTCAAGGTCCAAAAGACAGTTTCAGTGCAAACTGCAAACTGTTCAAAGGGCTTTAAATGATTCCAGACGATGAATAAGGGTCTTATCAAGCGAAACGATCGCTCATTTAATAAATAAATAACAATGTTTACGTTTTATAAGCACAAATGCTCGCCTTGCTCTGTTCTGTGACGCACGTTTGTGACTCTCCTGTTCGAACAACGAATGAAACGAACAAATTGACTAGGAAAAAAATTTGTTCGTTTTGATGAACGAGATCGAACAGGAGAGTCACAAACGTGCGTCACAGAACAGAGCAAGGCGAGCATTTGAGCTTATAAAACTTAAACTTTTTTTTTTTTTTTTTTTAAATGAGCGATCGTTTTACTTGATAAGACCCTTATTCATCGTCTGGGATCGTTTAAAGCCCTTTGAACCGTTTGGTTCCCACTGAAGTGCATTATATGGAGAAAAATCCTGGAATGTTTTCATTAAAAACCTTAATTTCTTTTTGACTGAAGAAAGAAAGACATGGACATCTTGGATGACATGGGGGTGAGTAAATTTTTTAGGAAAAGTTTTTTTTTTTTAAAGTAAACTACTCCTTTAAATGTTTCTCCTAAAAAGAACATTGCTGAGATACAGTAAGAGTATAACATTATAGAAAGACTAAAAGTACATCTTAGTAAACATGGATTTAGAAGAATATGATGAGAAATATTAGAATTCATACTGAGATCTCTGTCTAATCAAATCAGACCAGTTGTTGAGATCTCTTTGAAGCGTTTTTTTTTTTTTTTTTTTTAACAAACCCCAGCCATAGGCTATGCAAAAGTTATGCTTTGGTTTGGATGCTTGGCATA